GGTGCCCTCTCTCTCTCTCTCTCTCTCTCTCTCTCTCTCTCTCTCTCTCTCTCTCTCTCTCTCTCTCTCTCTCTCTTAGCGGTGTTGTCCGTCGAGAGGTGCGTGGAGGGGTGGGTAGAGTACAGTTCACGCTCGGCGAGAAAGGGGCGAAAGAGTTCCCATCACAGTCGGCAAGAAAACCTAATCGGCGGTTTGCACTTCATATACTCTGCGCACAATCTGGTGTCGCGAAATGCTCTCACTCTCTATATCTATCTAGCTATCTATCTATCTATCTATCCATCCCTCTCTCCCCCCTCCCCTCTCTCCCCCCCTCCCTCCTCCCCCTGAGCGGTGTTTGTGGGTGGGGAGGTGGGTGCAGAAGTGAGAAGGGTCAGGAGGATGAGTGTGTGTACACCTCGTGATAAGATCACAATCATCCCCTCGGCCCCCTATTGAGTACATGGAATCGCTGCACTTAAGTGCTGCAATGCCGTTTTCAGCCTTGGTAGAGGTGGTGGAGGAACAGAGGGAGCAAAAAGAAGGATTGAAACCTTGGGAGGACGGTAGCGGGCGGAGTGCATTTTCAATATCTGTTTTCTCAAATCTCTCCCTCGCTCTCTCACACACGCACTTCACAAGGCTGCCACACTTTGGAGGGCCTTGCCAGCATTTCAGCCTCGGGAAGTTTGAAGGAGGAGGATGGGTAGGAGGAGGAATGGAGCGAGGAAATGCGGATCAAGCCATGGGGACAGACGATGGTGACGAAGTGAGGGAAATCCGAAGGATCTCGGGATTGGCGTGACAGTGGTGCCCTAAAGATCCGGAGAAGAGGGAGGAGATTTTCGAGAGGTGGAAACGGAGAGGGTGCAATAGCTGCGTGGCGCGAAGGGTGGAAGGAGATCAGAATGGAAAACTACAGGAAAGGGAGCGGGGGAGCAACGGGAGGAAGATGCTGAGTTGTGGGTAGTATGTTGTGCTTTTTTCTGTCTACCTATCTATCTATGTATCTGCATATCTATTTATCAGGTCTGTCGCTCAAACCTGTCAATCACATCGATCACATGTAGATAACGATTTGTAGGGTTGCACCATGTTGCTAGCGCGGCAGGAATTGTGGATGGCCACTATTGGAAGGACTAGGCGGGGAGCATGCAGCGGGTGTGGACGGGCATGGCGAGCTGGAACAGTAGGCGACCGACGCCCAGGAACGGAGAAACAGTGAGGTGTGCGTCCAGAAATGGAGAGAGAACGAGGTTGCGATTAATCTTGAGGGGATGGAGCAGCAGAAGAAGGAAAGACGGGGTTGGAATGGGAGCTTGACAGGGGGAAGATCATGGATTACGACGGAAGGGGAAGGAACTGGGTCGGGCCCTAGTGGAGGAGGGTGGAGCTGCAGGATGAGGAAGGAGGACATTTTGTTCTCAATTTTCTTTCCCGTAGCTTTGACAATCCGGCCTCTTGGTGCTGTGAACGTATTCAGTGTCCTGAGCCTAAGAAAGAACAAAAATATGTGTTACGGTGTGTGCCACATGCACCTTCACAGCACTGTTCGCCTGTTTTCTCCTCACACACACACACACCCACACACACACACACACACACACAGAGAGAGAGAGAGAGAGAGAGAGAGAGAGAGAGAGAGAGAGAGAGAGACCAGACTCACCTGATCGGTATTGATCAATCTAAAGGTTAGCATGGGCCCTGCGCAGATGACAAGCGATTACACTTTTTCACTGTAATTGGGCTGGCACGCAGTTACGACTTCGGATGTGTCACCCGGGCAGGGGCCATGGTAATCGTTTCTGTATCGATCTAACGGAGGGGGGAGGAGGGAGAGAGAGAGAGAGAGAGAGACGCCATATTTTCAACTCCAGTTCAGGCTATTGCTTTGTGATGCTCTTTGTCTCCCGTCTATACACTGCAGCAAAGAAATCCATGGCTGCTTAGGTCCCCTTGACACAGTGCAACTTTTGGAAACAAACCTGGAGTTGGTGCAGGCCTCACCTCCCTCACCCTCACACACCCTTCTTTCTTTTTCCGAAAAACTTCATTCAAGCTTATTGCTAGCTGGAAAACTATCAGGGCCCACTTCTTCATGCATAAAATAACCATACAGGCCTCGTAACGGATAAGATGCATCAATGGGACTTTCCTAATGTGTGTGGATTTAGAAGTTGGTGGTGTGTAGGTGCTGCTGTCTTATACAACGGATGCCCATGACAGAACAGTCCAGGTGAAAGAAATTGGTTCTGAGCGCTGGGCCGAATGGCTTGTCAACCGACCCAGCTTTTTGCAGAGTGCCCTTATTGTTTGAAGATCATAGGTAGAATGGCATTCTTGTGGCTCGTACGAGCATCGGTGGAAGTGAGTTTTCAGTGCTGTGATGTGGACTGTACATACTACATAACCATGTCTGACTTGCTGACACAGTTGTCGAGCTCGATGCATTTTTCTGTGGAGAGAACAGAGCTGGTGTGATCCACAGTCCACGATTTCCTGCTCCACAGAGCTGATCACTTGCATAATTTCCTTGTGGTCGTTTGTGCAGGTGTAGCTTCTATTTGCATCCGTGTGACGGTTCTCAATTACCGTGCTTAAGTCAAAGCAAATTGAGTGCACCAAAGATCCTGAGGATTCAGAAGGTGAGAGACAGTTTTTGTCCCCTCTCTCTCTCTCTCTCTCTCTCTCTCTCTCTCTCTCTCTCTCTCTCTCTCTCTCTCTCTCTCTCTCTCTCT